CAACTCTGTAATGCCATGTTCTGAGATTTCACAGAGAAAGTTCGCTTGAGACCACTTTGAAGAGGTGCTCCACCTCAGAGTGAACAACATGTTATATATTTAATTATACCTTGAACAGGGTACATTAAGTTTGGAACACCCAGAAGGAGTTTGGAACACCGTCGCAGACCTGTTCCGTTATAAATGATCAGCTTGATAAGCTGAGTCGATTTAGCCATGTCCTTTTGTCCGTCTATATGTATATATGGGAACTAGTAGCACAGTTTTAGATATATTGATCTATATTCATTTAAAAGGGTAAGTCAGTTACAAATATTTCCAAAGAGGGTTTTACAGCCTACGAAGCAACTGACACTACTTAAGTAGGGCCAGTGGCAACATAATTCTATTACTACAATTTCACATTATTTGCGTATTTCAGCAAATGTTTCACATGCCTTACGCATACATTGAAGCTTGTTCTAAGTATGTACATATGTATGGGTTAGTGTGTTTGTTGAACTTGTACGTGAATAGCAACGGCGACTGCAATGACATGCACAACTCCTACTTATGATTTATTGTTTCCACCATTTTATTGTAACCAAAATACGAACCTAAATTGAGTTGTCAATCAAATGACATGACTGCCAATGACAGCAAGAAGGCTGCTTGCGGAGAAATGGACAGTAGACGGCTCCTACTATGTTGAGTAGCTCATCTGAACTGGAATAGGAAGGAGAGAGGAGTGATAGCGAGAGTGTGACAGGTCTGGAGCAAAAGCTGAGCTAAGTTGGCGACTTGCATAAATTTATGGTGAATGGGCGAGTGATATACATACACACTATATTTAAGTAGATAAAGTTATGAACTCGTAATTTTCATCACTATATATATGTATATATATATGTGTGTGTGTGTGTGCTTATTTCCGCTTGTTGGCCGCTGCTGAAATGTAACCACAAATAGCCATACATCACACACTGGTCAAGCGATAATCCTCCGGCGAGCGTGTATATAATTATCAATGTTTGTTATAATGTGCATCTCCACGGTGTTATGGCATGTGCGGTGTGTGATTGTTTGGGCGTGTTAATGTCCGCTGTGCCTTACCGAATGACGGCTCACTTCACTATACGAAATGACAACACGAAATGCATTTCATGTCATTTCAGCTATCGCTCAGTTATTACGATTTTCTGTCGCACAATTGTGATGTGTTATTCCAGCGGCGCTGTGTGTGATTGTGCTTGGGTGATCGTGTGTGTGCGGGGATTTGGATGGATGTTATTTATACTCTCTTCTATATTTACCATTGCTTAAGTGTGTTTGTTCACGTACTCATGTAATGAAATAGTTTGCATGTGTGTGTAGCATATAATGGATCGAGTGTAAATAATGGCCTACTAGGGTGCATCAGAGCAAGTAAAGCTTTAAGGATATGAAAATAAATGAAACTTCTGCAGTGGTACCAATTTAAAAATCTGTCAGTAACTTAAGGATTCGAGCAGCTAAATCCTAAAGTAGTCCGATGTTCAGCTTCTTGGTGAGAAAAGGGTATGCGCAAAATTTTAGATTGATATCTCAAAAACTGTGGGACTAGTTCGCGTATATACAGGCGGACAGAAAGACGGATGGGGTTAAAACGCATCAACTCACCACGTTTATCATTTATATATATACCTTATAGGGTCTCCGATGTTTCCTTCTGGGTATTGCAAACCACCCTGTTCAAGGTATAATAATATAGTAACATTGGTTTTTGATTGGTTGACATTTCTTCAAAACAGGATTTTGTTTCTACGACAAAGGGTGGTTCATCACCCTCAAGAAACCATCAAGTTTTACCAGACCAGAAGACAAGAAACAAACTTTCAATATCCAAAATCTTTCATGGACAGTCGAGTTTTATTGATTGTACTACTCCTTAGCAGGAATTTCGCACTCTGACTTACATATGAATATGTGGCTAAGTATTATCTTGCCTCTCTTCCCTTCCTTGAAAGAGATGATATCAGCGAAAACGCTTAGTACATATATATTATCATTACTGATTTGGTCTACCTATACTCCATCCACTGTTGTCTGCTCGATTTTTTTATCTTTCCTCTCACACCTAGGCAGACCTCGTGTGACAGCCCAAAAGAAAAAAAAAACGATTTTTGGGAGTTAAAAAACAAAACTATTGTATCTATTGTTTTAAAATTTTAGGGGTGTTTTTTATTTATTTTATTATTTTTTTATAGATATATTTTAACAATACACATTTTTGAATAAAATAAATAATTATTATTCGTTTTTCACACAATAACCTACGGTGGCAAATGGATCGGCTCATTTGTTTTTGTGTAATCACTGCAGCAAACTCGAATTATGTAGTTTGGAGAAAAACGCGCTGAGGCGCTACACTTTTGAGGGCTGTAACTTAAAAAAAAATTCATAAGATATTAATTTAAAATTTTTAGTATACTTTAGTATTTTTGAGAGTATATCAAAATATGCAAAAAATAAGAACAATTTTTTTTTTTTAATTTCCCACCAGGCCTTTTTAAAGCTAGAAAGTTACTTCAAATACTTTAATTTATCTAGTGTGGGTCAGATTTTTGTTGGTTTAGGCCCATCTGCCTATTACAGTTATTCAGTTATACAGTTTATACTAACATATATGTACATACATAAGTGCCCAAATCTACTATCATATTCCTTATTTAAGTAAACATATTAAGCAAATTAATATATTTCTATCTCACTAAACTCATGATTTAACACAACTCTTTCAAAGTGTCTAGACAGCTTGACAGCTGGCAGAAATATTATTCTTTTCTTAACGCAATACATGCATTAAGAGATAAAGGATTAGTTGTGCATCTATTAGTATGTATGTTTGTATGTATTTAAGTGATTCAAGGTTATATGTATGTGGTAGTGCATGACAAGCGTTTTTGGGATTATATAAAATAAAAAAAAATTCTATTTGCTATATATTTATTTAAATAATAAAACTTCTAGTTGCTATATAATTCTTAATTAAATGAAACTAAACTAGAGTTACAAACTAATATTGAAAAAATAAAATTACTAATACTTTTCTTCTTACAAATATTTATTATCCGTTGTTGTTTGCCTACTCTTTGCACATCTTTCGTATCCTCATTATTTATGCGAAAGTTTTTCTTTTACTAAACATTTCTTTTATTCACATGCTTCGGTTAGCGCAGAAAGCATAAACTTTAGATATGATCTGCAATTATGTGCGGTGCTTCTTCATTTTCGCGTCATTCTGCATGGCTTCATCGCTACTGTCGCGTGCACTCACTACTTGCCGCACTATGCTTTGCTCTGTTTCTTTGTTGGCTTGATTCGTTGCCAGTTGACACAGGACATCTACATCTTCGCTAAATGTTTCCTTCTTCATAACCTGTGCTACTGCTGTAGAATACTGCATAGCATAATTTTTCTCATAATAAATATATTAGCTTTGTTGTACTCTATGTTTCGAGTTAATATAGTTATAAGTGGCCGTTGTTTAAATGTAATTACTTTATTTACTGCAGTTGGTCATTTGGACAACACATGAAGAAAATTTATTTAATATCCATTGCGTTAGTTTTTGTAAAATAATTTTATTAAGTTCTATAAGAAAATTAAAAACTGTGATCTTAAACTATGTTTTTCAATAAAATTAATAACATTTTCTACATATAAATAACGCTGTACTGTTTAGAGCTATAAAATTTCTTGGAGAGATAGCTTTCAAACCAGCTCACGATTTCGACTTTTACGAATGTGTCAAGTATACTTGGGAGCTGAAAAAACATTAATCATCAGACTAGTTTGGACACTGGACCAATGACCTCGCTGGTTGACAACCCGCTGCTGCGCCTCTGCTACATCATTTTGTTAGTAAAGTAGAGCACAGGAGATCTACAGAACCATTTGTTCTTAGCAAAGCTCATCTTTCCGCAATCGTAAGGGTTTTTACTGGATACTGTCCAATAGGCATTCAAGCGGTAAACCTTGTCGGACACAAGTTGCCAAAGCTGCATGGAGGGGAGTGAGTTGGAATTATCCAGGTACTTTCTCCATTTCCATTTTTCAGCCACTGCAAGACTGAGGTTGAAACATCTCGGTAGTCTTATCTTCGGCGAACCAGGGGACATTGTTTAGATACCACAACGGACCAGCGTTCTAAGCTGTCCAAGTGCGATCTCTATTAAGAGCAATCCCTTAACCTAACCTAACCTAACCTTAATATGACTTGAAGTTTGGTTATATCTGAAGAGCTGGGTTGATTTAGCCATGTCCGTCTGTGTCCGCCTGCCTATCTGTATATATACGAACTAGTCCCTCAGCTATCTAGAATGTTACATCTGTCGCTATCTGATATATTCACGAAATTAGGCATGGATAATTGACTAAAGCAACGATGTTTTATTCGAAGAAATTGTTCAGATCTGATCACTATCGCATACAAACTGAACGATCGGAATCAAGTGCTTGTATGGAAAACTTTTTTATTTGACGAGATATCTTCACAAAATTAGGCACGCGTTAATGTTTAAGGCAACAATATATTCTCCGAAGAAATTGTTCAGATAAGATTACTATAGCATATAGCTGCCATACAAATTGAACGATCGAAATCAGATTCTGTGAGGAACCTTTGTATTTGTGAAGGGTATTATAACTTCGGTGCAAGCGAAGTTAACGTTTTTTTTTGTTTTAGTTCACTAAAGTCTATTTTTAATTTAAATTTACTGTACTCCTTATGCTAAATAAAAAATATTAAAAATCATCCAATTTATATTTCCTTTAGCACTCATTGTCTGTGTTCTCTCTCTTTTGATCTCGTTTATAATAAACTACTTGCCACTGCTGTGCTAATTTGTTTTAATTTAATTTTGTTTTTGTCACGACTAGCATGTTGAATTGCTCTAAATTTTTATGCATTAAGCTGTTATTGTTGTTGTGTTTTATTTTTTAAATTATCTCATTTACTTTGTTATTCCATTTTTCCTTAGCTTTCAGAGAAGAATCAACACATCAAGCGCGCTGCAAAAATGGCCAGTGATTATGACATGACATAAAACTACAAAGTGCTCGGCGTTCTTTGGCTGAATTTAAATGTCCTGCCACCACAACAACTATTAATGTGGGTATGTAGACTATGTTCACTTGTCGTCTTCTTGTTAGTGAATTTGTGGTCCTGTTTGTTTGGCTGCGGTCGCTTATTTTGTGTGGTGAACTAAGAAACTTTTCTCGACATTTCAATGATATTGTTGTTGGTGGCTTTTTGCCACATAGCGGTAGTAGATTTCTGTGAAAAGCAATTAATGGTTTTTTTCTTAATGTGAAATGTGGGAGAATTTGTTGGTTTGGATATATTTTTCTTCCAAGATCTCTTTTGATTTAAAGGTAGCAAAGACCTCGATTTGGAAAATAGAGATAAGGCATTGTTTTTTTAAAACACTAAATTTGTGAAAATATGGTGAAGATTAGAAATAACGTTTGCTGTGTGAACATTGAAAATTGACAGGGAAAATTTCTATCGCTAAGATCAGTCTAATAAATATTTATTATCTATTCCTGAGCCTCAACAGCTGTGAGTACAAAAAGATCCCCAATAAAAATTTTAGGTTAAGTATTACTGTATTCATGATGAGAGAACGTAACATTAACTCGTGAGCGAGAGAGGTATTTTCTATTATATTTTTCAAAAAAGTATACATTTTCTTTATTTATCATTGTACAGTTTGTTTGTCCGCCGCATAACTGTAAATGCTACGCATTCTCCACATACAGCTAATGTCCAACATGACTTCGCTCTGACCAACTGGCACTTGGTCGTTGGTCGTTGATGAATGTTTATGAAATTCATAAAATGTAAAATAGCATATTATCATTTGCCTGTGTATGATAAGGGCAAATTGCAAAATCGTCTCAAATGACCGCCATTTACGCAACGACGCACAGGCCGTGTGTGCATGTATGTGTGTGTGTGTGTTGGATGCGCTTGCAAAGCGTAAATACTTGAAAGGCGTCCACAGTACAAGGGATTTCAAAGAAATGACAGCAAACGCAGTGAAAGCCAGCGAAACAAAGGAGGTTGTGTTCGGGTCAGTGGTAATAGTTGTTTTGAGCGCTCGTCCTTTGTTCATTAAAGAAGACGAAACGTTGGGTGGGAGCTAGCTTGGCTCAAGAACGTTTAAACAAGCACTGACAGCTAACAAAAAGAATGAAGAAAATCTGAAAAAGCTGCAGATAAGGTGACAAGCAAAATTTTGTTTTATACTGCGATCATCAACAACACACTGAGTTTACTGTATTCCCACATAGACACTCAAACTGGATAAGCAAATATACAAAGCTGGAGTGGTTTCAGGTGTTAACAGTGTTTCAGAGTTGTGGAAATTTCACATCTGTCAAAACCCTCGATATCATACGAACTGACCGTTTGGAATCAATTGCTTGTATGAACAACTTTTTCACTTGACGAGATGTCTTTAAGAAATTAGATATGGCTTATTGTCTAAAGAAATTGCGCAATATTCGAACAAACTAATTTGATCGGACCACTATAGCATATGGCTGTCATGCGAACTGACCGATCAAAATCAAGTTCTTGTACGGAAATTTTTTTTAGTTGTAAAGGCTGTTACCGCTTCGTTGCAGTCGAAGTTAACGTGTTTTTCTATTTTTTATTGGGTCAGACCTATTTGTTATTGCTAAAGCTACAGTACCTAGTATTTAAATACCTTTGACTGTTATATCTTGAGGCCAAGCAGTGGCTATAAATTATATGAAAAAACTCGGAAGTCTAAAAATTATGTACTTCGCGTTTGGTCTGCTCTATTACATACATTCCATTTGTAATAACGGTACTGTATTTACTGGCATCATGGATACCATTTCGTTTGCTGCTTGAAAACAGGGTCATCTCTAATCCTTTTTTCTCCGTTGCGTTTTATTCTCTTTTATGATACGGTACTAATTTCCAGAATAAGTTTCTATTTCCATCCAGATCTAGTTATCTCTGAATTTATTAATCCTACTAATCCTCTTGATCTGCAGTAGATGTGAAATAGTTAGTTTTAGAATTGATTTTAATTTTTAAGAATTTTTCCAAAGCCGTTAGTGCTGTCAAAATTTATTTACTGTTTTTTCTATGACCAATATATAAATTATATTTTTAAGGTATTACTAAGTTAATTTTTCTCACTTATTATAACATCTTTTATTACTGTAGCTCTCAGCAAATCTTTTCGCCTGCTATATATCGACCTTCCGAAAGCACCTCACTAACAAACCAACCACCAACTTTACCTACAAAAATTCTGATCAACTCGTCAGCCGAAGACTCGCACAAGTTTGAAACAGATACTTACAAACACAACGACACATAAGCTGACCAAACGATTGAACTGCATACTCCTAAGTACTAAGTGTTTGCAGTAGTCGGTTGTTGGTCGGTGGCGTATACGTAACTTTTAGCATGTGCCTTCGAAGTTCAAGCTCAGTCAGCATTTGTTTATGTATTCATTTTCTGTTGGCTACTTTTGCCTGTAGCTCGCCTGCAAACACAAACTCACAACACTATGAAATTCATAGTGTTAGTTATGTCATTGGAAAGGCACTTCTCCTGCACTCGTTGTTTTTGCTGTTGTTGCTACTGTGGCTGTTGCTGTTGCTGGCTTGGTTGGTGCGTGTGCTCATTATTTGCAGGTTTCCTGGCAATTTTTCCTGTCATTCATGTTTATGCTAATATCTTGCTTCGTTATTGGGCTTGTTTGTTGTTTTTGCTTGTGTGTTGGCGTGTGCTTCTGTACGTGTGTGTTCATTATCTGTTTGTCCACAAAGTGAAAAAGCAAAGCTGAAATAATGAAAATTTTGTGGAATGCCGAAAATGCCACGAAATTAGTGCACACACACAGACGCACACATACATATACTTTCATACATTTTCGTAGATTTTTGATTTTTTTAAGTGTGTCACTCCAATGTCTTTCAGTATTAGGAAATATGGCTTTCGTACGCGCCTTTTAAACACACTTTTCCTTTGTTGTATTAGTGTGTGTTATGAGCCTTTGTATTCTATGAAAATGGCCACGAGCAGTTTTTCTAATGAAATCATTAACTTTATGGCCTTTGTCTGCTATTTATTTTAATTTTATTAAAATAGTGGTGTGGGTCGGATGGCAGGTGCCTAAAATCGCCACTTAATATCAATCACGTTAATGTGGTGGGAGTACGAAGCTAATTGACTTGTGTAAAACTTAATGCAATTTACTTGATGAGTAACCATTATATATTCAGCTGCATGTGATTCATTCCATTAAACAGAATAATTGTGTGCTTTAAACGCTAATGCCTGCTGTCCGCTTGTATCTATGTATGTATGTATATGCTCTTCTTACTTAAATTAATCGAAATTTTTGTTGCCTTAACCAAATGCATAAAAGCTTATAACAGTAATTTTACTCTATATATTGTACTTGTACAGTAAAAAAAAAAGAATTTTGACTGCATAAAACTTGCATAATGACTAGTTAATGTGTCTGCCAACTGCTGCTCCTATTTGTGGGTCGACAGCCGGTTTATGAATCATCACTAATGGCTCTCTGCTACTTGTGCATATGATGTTCCTATTTTGATGGAATTTCTATGCTAATTTGCGTCAACACTTGTTAGTAATGAGTAGCCTATTATATAATGATACGGCGTGCAAAATAGTAAACATGTGAGTGAGGTGTTAGGAGTTTATAGTACTACTAATAACTAATGTTAATCAAAATTGTATAGTGATCTTAATGAAGTAATTGTTACTTAATAGGGTAGAAACATATAGTTTATTTTTTTAACACTTTCACATAATTTCGCTCAAAGGTATGGCAATTAATGCTTAAAGGTGGTTTGCGGTACTTTGAAATGATTGGATCGTTATAGAGGAGGTCTTCTGCGAGCCTACATATAAACATGATCATATCTGAATTTTCTTATCTGACAAACTGTACGACGAGTTCAAAGCAGAGAAAGCGTTCTCAATTAAGGAGTATTTACAGCTTTATGTAAAAGTTCGAAAATGAGTCAAATGGCATAACTTCCCATAAAAGCCTATTTGAAATACCATCACATTTGTTCGCTTTACAGTAGATATATTGAGCTTAAAGCACGAATTGAGAAAACTTCTATCAACTCTTATTTAAAAACAGTTAGGCTTATTACATATTGTTTCTGGACCCCTTTTATTATATTATATATGTGATCTCCCTAGCTACAACTGACTTTATGGGGCATCTCGACAGGCAAATAATGTTTTGCTGACAACTATTTTGGTAATAGTACTGCTAATGGAGACTGCACTGCAACATAAGCAATATGTTTATCATTAACTACCTTATTATTTATCTTGATTACTATTGCTGCCAGTAAACTATATTTTTGGTAGTTTAACAGCGCTGTCTTTCTTGATTGTGATTGTGAAATATTGTTTTTCAAAAAATGTTTTTTTCCTCAAAAGTATATTTGCTACTTTTTCTATTATCTTAATAAATTTTTGTCTTGCTCATGAAATTTCTAAACGGTTCAAGAGCTGAAAAATGCGCTTCAAAGCCTAAACCATTTGGTTAACGATTATGTCAAGATAACAAATGTGCACACAAAAATATTGCCATATTGCCAACCTTAATGAGAATAGATTTAACAATTGGTTGACAATAGCAATTGGCAGTGAAAAGGCAGTGTGATACAGGAAACTTCAGTAATTTTTAGAAATATTTTAATGAAATTGGTATGTGAATTTGGCACTAAAGGTTGGCAAAATCTGTTCAGACCTTCCTTAGCCTCATATTACAAATATAGCGCTTATAGTCTTTCTGGTACATATCGGTCAAGATTCTTGACATTTACATTAAATGGACATATTTTGTTGAGCATAATATTGCTTACCAAAAAAAATGGCTAAAATCTGTTTAAAACTCTAATTATTTTCGTCTCACTGATACACTTTTAAAGTGAGAGAAATGGTAAATTTTTTAGTTATAACGGTCTTGCAGTAAGCAAACGTTGTATGCTACTTCAGTAGTGAAACAAGATATAGTAATGTAGTTAAGTGATTACATGATTTATATAGCGAAGGTTAACACCAAATGAAAGTGGT